CCCCAAAACCCCAAAACCCCAAAACCCCAAAACCCCAAAACCCCAAAACCCCAAAACCCCATGTTTAAAGTCAATGATTGTATAAATTCAAAATAATAGGCAAACCATAAGTCTGGACATACTGAAATATTTACTTTTGGTTTGTCTCATCATTAATCTCAACAGGATTCAATCATTCAAAAGATTTAGACATTAATCTTATGGTTAAATAAGTTGCTAGCAAGCAAACATTTTCAAAAGTCCTGAGTCATCAATCTCGGATGCTTTAGTATTTTATTGCTTACTAATTTGGCTGAATCTCAAATTTCAAATTTTCTCAGATAATCCTCAAGTTTAAAACTAATGACTTAAATATAGTTACTGCATCGATACTAGTTTAGGATCAATGATCATACAATTAACAGAACTCCTTGTCTCAAAATATTCCATGTTTCTTTGATCTTCAGTGGATAAAATCTACTTATACTTCGATTGGGTTCTCAATCTTTCTCACAATATTTACTAGTTCTGCCAGGATAAGCGAAAATACATAAATCAGAGTGCTCATCCGATGTGGGATTACGAGACTGTGCTCCAGCAGATGGAGCAGACCAGGCAGTGCTGCCCATTTGCTTAAGAGAATCAACTAAATAATTGAGACTGTAAATGCAGAGATCTTCAGGAGTCTTCAATATCTGAGCATTGACAAAGAAATCTGCATCAAGAGTAAGTGATTATGTACCGAAGCATTCATTCATCTTGCTTGTGGTCGAGTCCTTGTATGACACTAACCATATAGAAGTGTAAATGAATACAAAGAGACTCAACCAAACCTGCTCAGCAGCAAACGATTCATGAGAGTCAAGAGAATGGACAAATAGCCCATGACAACGGAACTCAAGAATCTAGTAAACTTAGTGAAAATGATGAAGATACCTTAAAAAACACCAAAGGAATCATCAACAGAAGAAGACGTTCTAAAAAGCTCAACATCAAAGCAAAAATTATTAAGCTTCGTGATTACCTGCTCACAAATCGTGAAGCATTTTTCAAATGCTCAATGAAGAAAAGGAGATGAACCAAAGATACTACTTTGAAAATACGCTCTAAGTACATCGGAGTGTCCAAAAATAATACTCACTGGCAGGCTTTCATCACCGTCAAAAGAGTCAAGAGATACATCGGAATATTCTTCGATGAACTAGAAGCAGCCAGAACATACGATTTGTATGCGGTCGCAATGAAATGGAAGAGAGCATTCCTTAACTTTAACTATATTTGGTATAAGATGCTAGAAGTGATAAATTTCTATCTAGCCCAAGGCAGAGTAAATATGGAACTACCTTGTGGAAAGTCAACCCAAGCGACAATAATGTATCCTCTTAATATCCAACTCCATTTCTGGTTAATAAATTTAGGAATAAATCGTATATTTTTAATTCCACCTATCTATGCTTTCACACTCAAACCTAAATCCTTATTGTTTGCCTTCTTTGGCTTATGACAGAGTCAATACTTCTTGAAGTCTGGCATCTCACTGGCAACCTCATTTTGCGAACTGAAACTTTCATCAAAGAGTCGAAATAAGCTAATTGATTTTCAATATTAGTAATAAGGCAAGGGGTTTTGGGGTTTTGGGGTTTTGGGG